TGGGATGTGACCTAGGGTAGGAGCAGATTGTGATCTCAGGCAGGAGGGATTATGGATGCGTGTGGAATAGAGGGGCAGAGGCAGAGGTTTGGGGAAGGGAGGGGGTGGGGTGACAGAGGCAGGTTCTGGCCAGGAGACTTACCAGCCAACAGCCAACCCATCCTGCCTGCCTGCAGAGCTTAACATGTTTCTGGCTGCTCGGCCATGTGCTTGAGTGAGTAACTGAGCAGGAGGATTGTGCTTTGTGGATGCCTGTCCAGAAACCGGCCACTGAGATCGTGCTGGGGGCAGGAGCCGTGTCTGAATCTTCTCCTCTCCCCACGGGCTCATAAAGAGAAAGTGCCTTGCAGCCCCGTTTCTGAGCAGCGGTGGGACAAGCAGGGAGCCTGCCTGCGGCTCCCTACTGCCTCCCCAACCTGGAAACGATGGCTGGGGGTGGCGGATCTGGCCCACGGGCCATATTTTGCCCAGGCCTGGAATAGCAACTCTGGATTTTTACACCAATCTGTTACCCACTAATCCGGTCTTTGTCCTACGGCAGCGGAGGTGTTAATAGACCACTCTTCCTTGATTGCCCCCTGACAATATGGCTAACTACTTGCTAACAATCATTTAAGCTGGGAGCTCCCTTCCCAGACCTGAGGAAGAGCTCTGTCTGTGTAGCTGAAAGCCTCCCTCTCTCCCCAGCAGAAGTGGATCTAATAAAAGACATTACTTCATCCACCTCGGCTCTAGAATTAGCACCAAGCAGACAGGCTGTCAGGCTCCTCTTCTCACACACCTCATGTCCCCAGAGATTCCATGAATCGTCCCCCGCTATTAGCCCACCATATTAGCCACTCTGCTTCTGTAACAAAGTCTGTCATTGGCTAATTTCAAACTAGCCAGGTATGAGAACAAAGTTTGAATCACATGTAGCATAATGGTCTCGCCCAGGCACTTTTCCAGATTTCCCCCTCTCCTCTGCTTCATTTCTTATGTGAATTTCTTGCCAGTCCAAGGAATCATAAGGCGGTTTGATTGTAACGCTATCACTCAGAATACGAGAACGAGTAACTGGCGTTATTCCAAAAGAACATAGTCCGCGTCTACGCTACAAGCAGTTATTTCGATATAATGTTGAAATAACGTTGCGGTGGAGGACATCTTACTTCGACTCCTGTAACCCTCATTTCACGAGAGTAAGGGAAGTTGGAGGAAGAGTTGCTCTACCTCGGACTTCATGCTGTGTAGACAGTGCCAAAAGCTGAAATAAGCTAGTATTTTTTATTTCAGCTACGCAATTGTCAGAGCTGAAGTGGTGTAGTTTATTTTGGCTTCAGCCCTGCTGTACAGATGTGCCCAAATTTTTTATTTCAGCTACGCAATTGACGGAGCTGAAGTGGCGTAGTTTATTTTGGCTTCAGCCCTGCTGTACAGATGTGCCCAAACTGTCAACACCACATGTCAAAACACAGTAAATAGGATTAAAGCAAACTAAGTTATCAAGCAGCATTCTTCTCTTTTTTTGCCTATCTGGAAATTTCTGCTATCAACGGAACTATTTTGTCAGTTTGTGGGTGTACAGGTGGAACCTCTCTAGTCCAGAACTCTCTGGTCTGGAAACATCTGTCGTCTGGAATGATTTTAGTGAGGCGGATGTCCAGTTTTCATGGGTGTGGCCAAGTTTCCCGCAGTGCCATAAAGTCTGTTTACCGCCCCCAGGCCTGGCTCTCAGTGTTCTGTGCTGTTATTTAGCTCAGATTTACCCTTAAATGTCTTCTAAGAACCCAGCAAGGAGTGGAAGTGCTGGTCATGCTGCTGGACAATATTGACCTTCCGTAGTCTGGGAAATTCTCTAGTTTGGCACCGGTCAGGTCCCAAGGGTGCCAGACTAAAGAGGTTCAACCTGTACAGTGAAACTGAAGTTTAATGACATTTTATCGATAAAAATCTGATCCTTCTGTAAACTAACTGTAAACCCATTTAAGTTTTTCCATGCAAGGGGCTGCCCCGGTTTAACTATATCAGATTAAACACTGATTTTTAGCTAAATCAGTGCAATATTTGGGAGCTAAGTATGGAGAGAAGCTAGGTTCCCTCCGACACACCCCACGGCAAGGTCACTTGGCATGTTTTCCTTTCAATAGCAGGACGTCGGACTGTCCTTCACGTTCTTTCCTCCCTTCCACAGCCATAAAAAGCAGCAAGATTCAGTTGCACACGGTATCTCAGTGTCACACTATGACCACAGCTAAAGCAAACAGAGGAATGCTACAAAATTCAGCTCACTGACAAGCCAGTGGTTAGGCACAGTGCAACCTTGTGGCCCAGACCACCGGCCTACCAGCTGCCTCAGGACACGGTAAGCATAGAGACCATCCCATTACCGCCGCCCTCAGCCAGGGCTACTCAACTTTGGAAGCCCCAGGGGCCACAGGGATACTCACCGCACATGACAAGGGCTGCAACTTAACTGTGGTTGCATATACATGCAAATAGATATGCAAATATATGCAAATAGCTTCTTTCACACTGACTGGCGTGAATACAATGATTAAGGTAAGACTATACAACACGCAGGCTCCATTTAAGTCCGTCCTGCTGATATTAATACTAATGAGCAATTGCCGGTCCAGGAATGTCACTACTAAAACGCATCTCAACAGAAGCCCATTACACTAATGAGCAGTTGCCGGTCCAGGAATGTCACTACTAAAACGCATCTCAACAGAAGCCCATTACACTGACAGCTTTTTTGTTTTGTCTCCCGCTCGCGGGCTGCGTGTTGAGCCCCGCATCAACCCAAACCGCACCGCGGGCCACAAACAAATGGGCCACGGGCCGCATGTGGCTCCCGGGCCACGTGGTAAATCGCCCTGCCCTAAGCTGTGGACGGAACGTTCTGACGCAATATGAAACGACGCACAGGGAAACCAAGGACCGCTCCCAATTACACTTCTCCCGGCAACAGAGAAGAGCGTTGTCCACGACACGGACTCCACCTCGTTGATGTTCTCTTTTCTGGCATGCCTGCTTCATAGGAGGTCCCAAGTGAGAGCGGGCCCCGTTGTGCTAGGCACTGCACAAACACTGGCAAGAGAGGATCCCTTCCCTTGCGAGCGTACCATCGAAATAGATAAGACAGGCGGAGAGGGAGAGGGGAAAGCATTACCGTGCCCCTGGAGTGAGCTAGCCTCCCTTCCTGAAAGGACAACAGTGAATTTCTTCTTCACACAGGCCTGCCTGCAGCCAGGCCCCTCCCACGCGAAAGGGACACAATGAATTCCACGCGCCATGCTTTGCCAGCTGATGAACATTCCCCGGGGACTCCATAACTGCTGGCAGCGTGCATGCATCACACCCAGTGAGGGCCCGCGAGAGCTGTGAGGATTGCTCAGGCAGACACACGCGTGCGCGCGCATCGCTGGGATTTCCCAGCGCCGGTAAAGCTCGCGTCCTGTCGTACCCCAGGGCGGCCAATAGAAACCTGCTTGCCAGTCCGATCCCTGGGCCCGCCGTGCACCCCGCACCTTGGGCGTGGCCCAGCGCTTTGAGCCCGGGGGGGAAGTTCCCGCCCCCTCCTCCGAGGGCTTTGAGGAAGAAGGGGACGAATGGGAAAGGGGCAGGACCTTGACTAAGCTCAACGGATCCTTGGGGGTTCGTGTGAGGGATTCTAAACGCTGAGTTGGGGTATTGCTACAACAATCGACGGCAGTTACTGCTCACAGGGACAGGGCAACTTCCTCAGCTTCTTCATTTCTCATAGGCAGTGGGGCCGACAGCCATAGCAGGTCCTGGGGGCAGGTGTGGGGGGGGAGGGGCTTTCACTACAGAAGAACGGCCAGACTGGGTCAGACCAAAGGTCTCATCTAGCCCAATGTCCTGTCTGCCGACAGTGGTCAATACCAGATGCCACAGAGGGAGGGAACACAACAGGGAATCCTCACATGATCCCATTCCTGTCATCCATTTCCAGACAAACATTGGCTAGAGACACCATTCCTACCCATCCTGCAAGAGCCATTGATGGACCTAACCTCCATGAATTTATCTAGGGTTTTTTTGAACCCTGTTGAAGTCCTAGTCTTTACAACATCCTCTGGCAAGGAGTTCCACAGGTTGACTCTGCGCCATGTGAAGAAAAACTTCCTTTTGTTTGCAGTCAGCCCATAGTGCCCCTCCCCCAGCCCGCAGAACCGCGTGGAGCAATGATCTGGCGACAACTCAAAGTGTCCTAGAGTTCCCAGCCAGCCCGCTGTTTTCCCCATCGGCAGGCCCGATCATAAGCCAAGCTGATGGCACAGGCCATAGTTAAGGCTGAATGACCCTTTCCATTACGAACCCCTGTGTTCAGTTCTTTGTGACTTTGCCAGACTGAACCTGTTCAAGCCGACATGCCGAGCGCCTGCCGTCAGAGGACTGATTCTGGAAGGCGTGGGCGAAACGGGGTCTGCCGTTTTTGAGGCCGAGGTTAGGGGAAGAAACGCCGTGTCGGCCAGTGTTAAAACAGGCCTGGAAACTCCCTAGTACCTGGAGCAGGGACTTGAAACCCGGCAGTGGGCTATCTTGGCTCCTAAGAGCTTTGCTCACCGTCCTAGCCAGACACCCCCGCAGGTTTGCACTTCTAAACCGTTGGCTGTCTCAGCCCACGGGTGTGTTATTTACCACCTTCCCCTCTGTCGGGCTGACCCCCAAGGTGAAAGGAGGCCGGCGAGCCTCACCGGTAAGAAAGGGGCCCATGGTGGGAGCGCCACGCTGTAGGTGGAGAGGCGGGGGCCCTGCCTGTCCTGCTGGCCGCTCACCGCGCTGGCTGCACACTGCACAGTGCCCGGGGGGGAAGGGGAAGGGAGGGGCTATGATACCACAGGACCTGTAAGAAACGTAAGTTACTTTCCCCCCTGCCTGGCCCAGACCCGCCCCCCGGCAGCACAGTCTGACCAGTCCCAGGACCTTACCCCATCCCACAGAGGAGACTTTTCGGCCAGTAATGCTGGAAACGGAGAGCCGGGGCTACTCACCACTTTCCAACGGTCCTTGACCACGTAGTTGGCCGGCAGGATGTCGACCTGCTCCCCTCCCCCACTCATGTTTGGTTCCTCCCGGATAGCTGCTACGAGGCACTGCATCTGCCAGCCAGAAAGTAGTTTGGTAGCTCCCAGTTGAAATGAGCCATTTATCTGGGCAGAAAAACAAAAGGGAGAAAAGGAAAGTGTTAGTGCAAGAGGCCAGTGAAACTACCCCCTCTCCCCCCGGGGCTCTGGTTTCGAGCTCATCAGAAAGAGCGCCTTCTCAGCTCTCCCCATGCACAAACCTGGCCAAAGCAGCCAAGCCCCACGCCCCCAGCGCCAACTGAGGAGATGCCACGTTCCTGGCTACACCATGCAGCGTCTCAGTGCTCGCGGGCCTCGTAGCCAGCCGCTCAAAAGATGGGCCAATGCCAGGTCCCTGCTTACAGCCTGAGTCTCGGGGACAAGGGACGGGAATGAAGAAAGAGCTGTCATTGTACCCGGCAAAAAAAATAAATCTCACTTTAACAGAGCAACTGTTTCATTTTCTGTTATTCCTAGCGCGGCACCTGGGTCCCACACGCTACAAACAGCCAAGCAAGGGACGGGGGAGGGGTTCCAGCCACGTATAGATTAGTCCTTGTAACACGCAAGCCCTGCTAAAAAGGTTCACTTTTCAGGCACAGAGACAAGCCTCGTTCCTACAATATCAACTTTCCTTCTGTCTCTGTGTCCAGGGCGAGGGGCTCTCACTCATCCAGCAGTTCACCTGCTTCGGAAGCCAGTTTTGTTCATGAATGCGGGGCTCCCATCCCGCCATAAAAGTGACACTTAGCTTCATAGCAGTGCTGGTCTTGCTCATGTAAAAGCACCTGAGTGGTTCTCGTACCCGCCCCTAGAGGCAGGCTGACCAGATGTCCCAGTTTTATTGGCGCTTTGTCTTATATAAGATCCTATCACACCCACACCCCTTCCCACTCCCCTTTTCACACTTGGTCACCCTGACGATAGGCTATTTTCTGGCCTCAGAGCTAGCCTGGAGCACACACTCCTTCTAGTCCCAGTTTTCTTGCTGGCTCCGGCCCCCTTTCCCAGCAATATGGCCCATACTCTCTTTCTAGATCTAAAGCAAGTTCCTCTGCAGAGATCAAACATCGCTGACAACATATATGCTGAATAAGAAAATAAGGTTAGAGTCGGTCATTCGACCAAGAGACTTCTTCAGGTTGGAGTAACAGTCAGAAAAGCATGGGCTGTGTATCGGGGGGAAGAGATGAGCGTTCCCCATGGGCATCTGGAAGGGTAAGACCAGTGGTGTGACGTGAACGTGCGAGTTCCGCAGATAGACCTGGGGCCACCAAGCAGGCAGGATACGAAGAGGCCACCTGAAGGATCGCCAAATAAAAATGCAACTAGCATCTCCGAGGAGAGAGAGCTGTGCTCTAAAACAGGGGAAATGCCTGCGAGGGGCACAGGAGAAAAGGGGGATGCCTCTGGGGCAGGAGACTGCAATCCACTCGACCCAGTGAAATCAGCTGGAACACAAACCAAACACGGAACAAAGGAGAGAAGCAAAATAAGTACTTGAAAAAGTGCGGCAGAAGGGAAGACACACTCAAAGGGGGAGGGGGGAGTTTCTCTTACAGACCCTCACCCACCCACTCCTGTAATAGGCCTGTAACCTGAGCTACTCAAGTCCTCAACTCTTGATTTAAAAACCTAAAGTTCCAGGGAATCCACCATTCTCCGAGTTCACACCAGCAAGCGACCTGTGCCCAATACTGCAGAGGAAGGTGAAACCCCGCTAGGCTCTGCCAATCTGATGCAGGGGAAAATTCCTTCCTGATCCCAAATACAGCGACCCTGAGCACACGGGCGAGAGGCACAGCTGGTCACCTGGGAAAGAATTCGCTGTAATAACTCAGAGCTTGCGCCCCCTGAGCACACGGGCAAGAGGCACAGCCAGTCACCTGGGAAAGAATTCGCTGTAATAACTCAGAGCTTGCGCCCTCTAGCATGGCCATTCCCTGCACCTGTTCCAGTTTGAAACCATCTTTCTGAAACACGGGAGACCAGAAATCTGTGCTAAGAGCAGCCACAGCTGTGCCATATACTGCGGTAAGCAGTCTCAGCAAACCCTTACCGCCATCAGCTCCGCCTGCAACCAATGTCAGTTTTGCCCCTCAGCCTTCAACACTAGGCTAACGTAGCCAAGCTCCCTTCAGTCTCCTCTCATGAGGCAGGTTTTCCATTTCTTTGATCAGCCCACCGGCCGTTCCCTGCACCTGTTCCAGTTTGAAATCATCTTTCTGAAACACGGGAGACCAGAATTGCACACAGAGGAGGTCTCTCCAGGGCCTGGTACAATGGTAACAACACCTCCCTGTCTCTGCTGAAAATTCCTTGCCTGGCCCATTGTAGGATTACATTCGTCTGTTTCCCAGCCGCATCACATTAGCCGCTCGGTCACCCTGTGATCGACCAGGTCTGTCTTATTCTCTCATCTCCAACTGACACGTCTCCAGCTTACAGCAAGAATTCCTAAAGGCTTGACCTTGCCCTCTGCACTATAAAATCCCATCCCATTTCTATTACACCCGTTTCTTAAGTGGCCCGAATCTTCCTGTTTGATATTCCAATCTTCCTCAGTGTTGGCAATGCCGCCTAACTTTGTGTCACCCACAAATCTCATTCGCACACTCCCACACTTTGTGCCAATGCCACTAATCAAAATGTCCCAGGACTAAGTCTTGAGGCATTCCACTAGTAACCTCGAAGAGAGCAGTTTGGCTCAGCACAATCAACGGTGAGTAAACCAGGGGTTTCTACCTTCTATACTTAAGGTCCCACTTCATCTTTCCTTGTTTTCTTTGTATTTATATGGCTACAGAACAATCAACTGTTGGTTTTTAATTTCCTCTGCTAGATCCAGCTCTGCTTGGCTGTTGGCAGTTCTCACTTTACCCCTGTGTGCTCTGACCTCCAATCGGCAGCATTCCTCACGGATCCATCCCTTCTTCCTTTCCCTGTAGCGCTCTGGTTTCTCTTGACAAGCAGCTGAGATGCTCATGCCTCTGGTTTGGCCTGCAACCCTTTCCAATGAATTTTAATCCTTGCTTGAGAGGCAGGCTCCATATAGTTTCTGCCACTTTGACTTAAAGCATCCTCCACTTTCAGATTCTCCAGTTCCTCACTCCAGTCCACTTCCCGAATTCATGCCCTTCGTTTTTTGTTTAAGTTTCCCTTTCTGAACCCCAGGCCTCTAGTGGCAGCTTTCTTGAGTAACCTTCCATTTTGTTTCCATTCACGACCACTAGAATCAAAGTTGTCCTCTACATTCAGCAAGTTCTGCTGAGGTCATTGCTACTTTCTGATACTCAGTCTAAAATGGCATCTCCTCTTCTTGGTTTGGGGACTATTTGGTGAAGAAATCTGTCGGCCATCACATCCAGGAATGTCTGGGCCCTGCCTTCAGTCGTAACCCTTGTCCTCCCGTCAGTGTCTGGGAGATCAAAGTCTCCCCGCACCACACCATTCCCAGGGGCATTCATGTCCTGGCCATATTGGAGAGGTCTCTCTCCATCTCCAGACCGGCTCCGCGGGGATGGCGCAGCCCCCAAGCGCTATTCCACTGCAGCCTGTTACCTCCTTCTCCACGGGGATTTTGGCCTGAACAGATTGTTTGATCTGTTCCCTCCCTTCTCGTCCTTTTACAGCCCTTTAGCGTCAGCCACGTACCACGCTCCCCCCCGGCCTTTGTCCTTCCCCAGCAGCACGTCCCTCCAGTCCCGGTGCTCCAGACACGAGGGCGACTCCACCGTGGCTCCAGGATCCTGTGATGGCCGCCTTCCCTCCCTGCACCAGGAGCTCTGGTCCCCCGGCTCTGTGCACAGCTTAGGTGGTTCTGCCTGGCTTGGCCCAAACCCCTCACCCGCCCGTACTGCCGGGGTCACTGCCTGGCTGCGGTGTCACTGGTCCCGGCTCTGTACTGCCTCTTGGCGGCCAGGTAGAAACCCCCCGAAGATCCCGAGCCTCCTGTTCTCCAAGTGCCTTCCCCGGCCTGGCGCAGTGTCCCGTGGGGTGCTCCTGCCAGACTCCAGCCGCGTCGTCAGCTCCCAGGCGCGGGACGATCCGAGGACTCTTTCCTGACCCTGCCGGGGCCTCTTGGGCCTCAGTCCATAGCCACTCCTTGTAGAGGGCAACACGCCACCTTTCTGTTCCGGGGATCTGCTCTGGCGATGGGCCTGTCTATTCTTCTGAGTAGGGAATCCTCCCTGGAGCAAACCTAGCTCGGCCTGGTGGTGGTGCAGACCTCCGGCCTTCCGTCTGCTTGTCCTCTGAAAACTTAGCCTTCTGCGAGTCGCCCTGGTCTCCGCACTCTAGCTCTGCCCAGTGACTCTTGCAGGACTAGCCGCTGTTCTCTTCTTCCTTGTTCTCCCATCGCCTGACGCTGCCGGCCTCTCCCCTTCCTCTTCCAGCCCGGTGAGCCTGTTTCTCCACCACCGCGAGCCAACCTTTGCCTACGCCTGGCTCTCAGTCACCCACTTCCATCAGCCTCGTTCCTCAGCCCGCTATCCCATCTGCAAGTCTCCACCTTCCCCTCCAGCCTCCTTTCTCTGCCCGCCCCCCTCCACTCAGAATCCCACCTGCAGCGCAGCCCTCGTTCCTCACCACATCTCCAAGCCCCGCAGGAGGCGCTCCATGCAACAACGCGCAACCGGCAGCTTCCTACCCGGCCGTCTCCCCGTCTCTTCCATTCTCCGGCTCGCTCCCACGGCCGCCCCAGCCTTTGCTCCTAAACGCCTGTCCAAATCATTGGGCGAGGGTGGTGACCACACCACAGTCCTCCTCCCCCAAACTCCGTTTAGAAACTTCCCTGTTTTCAGCTCCATTTGCTGGCTTCTGTGCTGCTGGCTGGCCAGCTGCCTGCCTTTATAGGGCTGCTGACAGAAATGCCAGGCCCCTCTGCAAGGGGATGGAGCAGGAAGGGGCAGGGCCTTGGGCAGAGGGGATAGAGCAGGGGCTAGCCTCCCCCAGCCAGCCCTTCAGAGCTGCCTGGCTCGCACCATCCAGGGCCCCAGCAGCAAGGGACCTAGGGCTCTGGCACAGCTGTCCGAGCGTACTAGAGAGTGTGGCCCATCACGCACTTATTCCTGCCCCCGAGGGACAGC